CTTTTAAGAAGTGTCTGTTACATTTATTTGCCCATTTATTAATTGAGTTGTTTGATTTTTTTTTCAGTTCTTTATTCTAGATATTAACCTTCTGTTGTACGAGTAGCTGGCAAAGGTTTTCTCCCATTCTGTAGGCTATCTATTCACCCTATTGCTTATTTCCCTTGCTCTGCAAAAGCTTTTTACTTTGACGTAGTCCTGTTTGTTGGCTCTTGCTACTCTTCTCTGTGCTATTGGAGTTCTTACTATTCAGGAAGTCTTTACCTGTGCCTGTGGCTTCAAGTGTTTTCCCTACATTTTCTTCTAACACTTTTAAAGTTTCAGATCTTACTAAGCCTTTGACCCATCTTGAGTTGATTTTTGTATAGGGTGAGAGATGGCATCGAGTCTCAGTCTTCTACAGACAGATAGATATTCAGTCTTCCCAACACCATTTGTTAAAGAGGCTGTCTTTTTTCCAATGTATGCTTTTTGCTCCTTTGTCAGGAATCAGATGGCTGTAGTTGTGTGGGTATGTTTGTATCCTCTGTGCTATGCCATTTGTCTATGTGGCTATTTTTGTGTTGGTACCATGCTGCCTTTTTTTTCACTTTGGCTTTGTAGTACAAGGTGAAATTGGATATTGTGATTCCTCCAGCCTTGCTCTTTTTGCTTAGTGTTGCTGTGACTATTCTGGACCTTTTGTGTTTCCATATGAAGTTCAGTATATTTTTTTCTATTTCTGTGAAGAATTTACAGTTTGTTTTTGGTAATACCGCAATTTTAACAATTTTCATTCTGCCGATCTGTGAATGTGGGAGGTCTTTCCAGCTCCTAGTGCCTTCTTTAATTTCTTTCTTCAGTGTTGTGTCATTGCTGTTGTACAGGTCTTTCACCTCCTTGTTTAGGTTGATTTCTGTTGATTTTTAGGTGGTGTTTTTTAAACTATTGTGAATGGACTTGTTTTCCTGATTTCTTTGAGCTATCTCATTACTGGTAATGAGCTACCTCATTACTGGTTTTTTAATGTAGATTTTGTATCCTGCTACTTTGCTGAATTTGCTTATTAGCTCCAAACATCTTTTGGTGGCATCTTTAAGATCTTCTAAGTATAGGACTATACCATCCACAAGAAAAGATAATTAGACTTTCTCCTTTTCTACTTGTACTCTTTTTATTTTGTCTCTTGCTCTAGTAAAAGTTCCCAATACTATATTGAGTAGGAGTAGTGGACATCCTTGCATCGTTCCTGGTTTTAAAAGAAATTAATATTCACAGTGGATTTGTTATATACATCCTTTACTATAATTAGGTATAATCCTTCAACACCTAGTTCTTTTAGGGCTTTATCATGAAGGGATGTTGAATTTTGTGCTAGGCTTTCCCTGAATCGGTTGAAAATACCATGTGATTCTGAGCTGTGATTCCTTTATATAGTGTATTATATTTATTGATTTGCATATGTTAAACTATCCTTACATTCCTGGGATGAAAACAACTTGATGATGGCATGTGATCTTTTTAACATGTTTTGAATTTGGTTTGCCAGTATTTTATTAAGGATTTTTGTACCTATGTTCATCAAGGATACTGGTTTATAATTTTGTTGTTGTTGTTGTGTCATCCAGTTTGGGTATCAGGGTGATGTTGGCCTTGGAGAATGAGTTTGGAAGCATTCCTTCACTTTCTGATGGAATAGGTTAAGGAATACTGATGTCACTTCTTTAAAGGCTGGGTAAAATTCAGCAGTAAACTCATATGACTGTGTGTTTTTTGTTGTGGTTGTTGCTGTTGTTGTTGTTGTTATTGGGAGACTTACTGCTTCAATCTCATTGCTTGTTATTGATCATTTTAGGTTTTCTATATACTCTTAGTTCCATTTTGCTAGGTCATATGTGTCTATAAATTTGTCTATTTCTTCTACAGTTGCAATTTATTAGAATGTAAGTTATCAAAATAGTCTCTAATGATCCTCTGGATTTCAGTAGTATCTGTTGTAACATTCCCCTTTTCATCTCTAATTGTGTTGATTTGAGTCTTCTCTCTTCATTTGTTAAGGATTTATCAATCTTGTTATCTTTTTTAAAGTAAAAAAGATAATAAACAATTCTTTTTTTCATTGATCCTATATTATCCTTTTAGTCTTTATTGCATTAATTTCAGCCCTCTCTGTATTATTTCTTTCTTTTGGGGGCTTGTTTTTGGTTTATTCTTGTTTTTCTAAGTTCTTAAAATACACCACTGGTTATTTGAGTTACCTCTGATTTTTTTTTTCATGTAGGCACTCACACCTATAAATTTCCTCTTAAAACTGCCCTTATTATATCCCAGAGAGTCTGATGTGTTGTGTTTCCATTTTCATTTGATTCTAGGAACTTTTTTATTTTCCTCCTGGTTTCTGAAGTTACCCACTGATTGTTCAAAAGTGAATTATTTAATCTCCATGTGTTTCTATCATTTCTGTCATTTCTTTTGCTGTTAATTTCTAGTTTCGTTCCACTATGATCTGATATGATCATATTTCAATGTTTTGTATTTGTTAAAATGTTCTTTATGGACTAAACAATGTTCTATTTTAGAGAATGGTAGACAAATTGCTAAAATTAATATGTATTCTGTAGTTGTTAGGTGGAAAGTTTTACACAGCATAGTCCATTTGCTCTATCATGTAGCTTAACTCTGATGATTCTTTGTTGATTTTTTCTGGATGATCTGTCAGTGAGAGTAGAATACTGTTGTTGCACCAGGTGTGTCCCTCTATGTCAAGTAGTTTGTTTTATGAAATTGGGGTCACCAATGTTCAGAGCATATATGTTTATAATTGTTCTATCTTCTCGTTAGATTGTTCCTTTTGTCATATGAGTGGCTTTCTTTGTCCCTTCTGACTAATTTTGTCTTAAAGTCTGCTTTGTCAGATATAACTATTCCTGCTCACTTTCAGATTCTATTTGAATGAAATGCTGTTTTCCACCCTGTTATTTCTAGTCTGTTTATGTCTTTGCTTATAAATTGTGTTTCTTGCCGGCAGGAAAGAGTTAGGTCTTGGTTTTTTTTTGTTTTGTTTTGTTTTTTTAATTTAATGCGCAAGTCTGAATTAGAGAACTAAGATTATTTACATTCAGAATTATTATAAAAATATATGTACAGTTTTGTTCTTCTAATGTTTAACTCTTGCCTCAATATCTTATCTCAATATCTCAATATCTTATCTACTCTTCCTCTTCTCTGTGTAGAATTCCTTTATCCCCTGCAATACTGGCTTAGTGGTCATGAATTTCCTTAGTTTATGCTTGTCTCAGAAGTCTTTATTTCTCCTTCAATTTTGAGTGATAGCTTTGCTGCATATAGTAAACTAAGTTGGCAGTTATGTTCTTTCAGGGCTTGAAGCACATTGTTTCATACCCTCTCAGCCTTCAAACTTTCTGCAGCAAAGCTTGCAGTTACTGTGATGGGTTTGCCTGTATAAGTGACTTGATGCTTTTCTCTCCCACTTTCAGTGTTGCTCTGTATACATTCCTTGTTCTGTACTCTTGACATTTTAACTATAATGTGATGTAGGGAGGTTCTTTTCTAGTGATGCTTGTTTGAGGTTCTAAATGCCTTCTGCATCTGGATGTCTATATTTTGCAGAAATATGGGAAGTTTTCCTTTATTATTTTATTGAATAGGTTTTCTTTGCTATTAATCTGAGATTTGACACTCCCTTTACACCAAAACTTCATAAATTTCATCTTTTAACCACGTCCCAGAGTTACTGTTTTTTCATGATTAATTTTATTTTTCCTTATTAGCGTCTGAGTGAGATAATCCATCAACCTTATCTTCAAGCCCTGAAGTCCTGCTGTTTGATTCAGTATATTGATGAAGCTTGCAACTGAGTTTCTTATTTGATTCTGCACTTTCCATTTCCAAGATTCCCATTTGGTTCTTCTTCAGAACCTTCATCTTTTTGTTGACTTGTTCCTTCACATTCTGTGTTATCTCCCTTAATTCATTCAGTTGTTTACTCGGATCCCCTTTGTAGTCATTATTTTTAAAATCAGTCTTTTCAATTCTTTCTCTGGCATTTTATCCATTTTGATGTTTTTGTATTCAGTTACTGACAAATTTGGATCTTTGGGGGAGTTCTGTTGCCTTGTTTTTTATACCCTTTGTTTCTATATTAAGATCTGTGCGTCTGTTGGGACGGAGATATCTTTTCCACTTTTATATGAAGGTCTTTTACATGTTCAGTCTTCTTTTGAAGGCTTGCTCCCCATCACTGCCATTATTTTAAGTCGCCCAGTTTTAGGGTAGTTTGTTATGCAGCATGAAAGAACAAGAGCACCCATACAAGATCCTTAAGGAAGAGACAGTCCCTACCTCACTCTTACGTTCTACATGAGCATTTAATACAAAGCTTTATTGGCATCTGTTCACTCCTTGGAGTCAAAGAAGTACTGTGCGTGTCAGTAAGTAGTGGCTGAAAACTGAGCCCAGCACTTTCTCAAAGTGGCACAAAGTTGAATGAAGTTTTCCTGATGCTCTATGGATTTCCCTTCCATTTAGAGTAATGCCCTTCTCGGGGCTGGGGATTTAGCTCAGCGGCAAAAGCGCCTGCCTGGCAAGCGCAAGGTCGTGAGTTTGGTTCCCGGTACCAGAGAAAAACCAAAAACCAAATAAATAAATAAATAAATAGAGTAATGCCCTTCTCACCCTTAGATAGGACAGTGAAAATCCCTGGGAGAGGTATGAGAATACAAGCAAACAAACTGCAGAAAACCTCAAAGAGGTTCTGGTGACGTCAGCTATCAAGATAACACATTCTCTTTATTGGGGCTCACCTACAGAAGGATGAAACATTTGGGCAGAAAAATGGGCCCAACTTTAATTTCCATGACATAATAGTCAAAAAACATTTGTATCATGCATAGTATTTCTTGTATCTAGTATCCTGATGCACAACAAATTCAATTTAATTGCCTATATAAAACACAGATATTCTAACAACCCTATAGTCTTGGCATTGTAGGCAGAGAAGTGCTACTCCATGTCATCTGGAATGGCTGCAAAAATTATACCTCCTCAAGAGCTCAGATGCAACACTGGGTACTTTGAAAAGTTTCATGGTTTTCTTTTATTTTCTTTTTTGTATATTTGTTATTTTCTTGCTTTTTCCAAAGAACTTGATGGATATTCACCCCTAGGAATAAATAGAGAGAACTCTCAGAGGAAATGGTAGTATCTTCCTATAAATGATATTGACTAAAGGAAAGCTACTTTGTGTGAATAGAATGTCTTCTAAATATTCACATTTTCCCAGGCTGAGCTCAGGATTCACAAATGTGAATTCACATGCAATTTCAGGCTTCTAAATATGCACAGTGTCAGAGTACAGAGATAGATCATTTGTAATAATGCTAGAAGAAAAAAAGTGACTCTCATTGTGAGACAGAAGAAAATTGATATCTTCTACTTTTAAAAGCCTTATTTTATTTTTCTCTTCCAAATCTAATCCCTTTTCAGTCTAGATTCTACAGTATATGTGGTTCCCTGCTTTTCTATTAGGTACTCAGTCTTGCAATCCTGAGCCATTTAGCATTTCTCTTTAATGCTATACTATACACCACCACTCACATTCATATGAGTATGAATATACAGGCTGGTTAAATTGATGTAACAACTGATATGATATGCGGTGGGTTCAGTCATAGTAGAGGAAGTTACCATGTTCAAAATATATCACTTTCCATATCCTAATCAGCAGCCTAATTTTTTGAAGAAAAGAATGTTAAATTCTTTAGAAAATTGCCTCTAACTTTACTTGGCTTCTCATACAAATATATAATTAATATATTCTCATTACAACAGGCATCCAGTGGGGACCTGAGGCTTCTGTCCAAAGCCCATAAGAAACCCCATCAAAAGTCACATGAGCTTTGAAGCAAAGCTTCTCAAGCTGAGACTTGAGATGATACAGCCTAGCCAACATCTTAATTACAGCTATTAAAGATGACCAGCTAAGTATCCGTGTTCTTAAACCACAGAAACTTTAATAAATATGTATGATTTTAATCCACCAAGTTTCAGAGTAATTTTATACAGTCTGAATTACTCTCCATCACCCACATTAAGCACACATACACAAACCCTAAAAATATTTTAAAATCAATCCCCCTTAAGTTCAGATCAGATCAATACAATATGTACACAGATGATTTCTGGTTTATTAGGCCTTCTCTTTCAGTGCAATTGGTCTAAACCTCATTTCTCTATAACCCTGGCCTCTCATATCTGTGGTGACGCCCAGAGATTAGCTTTTCCTACAAAATAAATCAAAAAATCCTAACCTGTAGCAGCATTCCCATGACGCTACTGGTTTATTAGGACTTTTTTCTGAGTATTTCCTATAAGTGCAATCATAATATGTGACTTTTTGTGTCTGGTGTAACCTATTCGCTTTGGTAAATAAACTATTTTAGTTGGCCAACAGGTTATAATACAAAAACAAGTATTAACTACAGTAAAAGACTCACATTGTTTTCCTGGTTCCACTATCATTTAGCAAAGAAATGGAAAAATACGCTCAATCACACAATTGTTTAGCACAGGGAAGTATGTCTGTTTTATTTCTAAGTGCCTCATTTTTGTCATTCTTTATGTTTGTTGACATGATCTATAGAGACCTGCATAGGTATTTGGTGGAGCTTCTGTTGGTGGTTATCCTAGCTTTCAGGTTTCCATTTTCACTTTGTTCTGGAAGATAATTTGTTAGGTCATTGAACTGATACACAGTAACCTTTAAGACTCTAGAGACCAAATATTTGAGCACCGTAAGGATAACAGGCATGAAGAGAAAGAATATAATTAGAGTTTATGGTCCACATTCAAGTTATGATCCAAGAGTTCCCAAATTAAAGCCAGACAATAGATCCCAACCCCAGTTCAAAAAATTGAAAAACTAGATGTGGAGATATTAAACAATTTGAATAGTTTCATCATTTCTTTGTCTTCTAGATCCTTTTAGTACTAAAAAGACACTAGAGAAAATAAGAGCACAAAATTTTTCTCCTAGCATACACCTTAACTCAAGGAGCTAACATTATAGACATACATCTTGGACCACAGTATGTCAAGTTTATGAGCCTCTGGGCCAAGCTATGCTCATGATGACATTGTCTAGCTCTCCTATTCTCTGAACCATAACACATAAGATTCTCCAATGCTGGGACCCTCTTGGAAAAAGGAAATGAAGAGGCTTGTGGACAAAAGAAAGCAGTCCAGAGTTCCACTTCAGTTGCTGTAGAGCTTGTAACTCTAAGACCCTGTTTTTCTCCTTGTTAAATTCAATTATCTAAAGATCTCTTTATCTGACAAGGGAAATTCATGGTCCAAGACAGATCCTGGATGCTATCAGAAATTATCCTGAATTTAATCATCACTTTAGCAAGATAAAAGATGTATGCCCACTCGGTGGATAGTCTCCAATAGATTTTACCCTACAAATTCAGGTATTAGGAATCATCCAGTGATCTGTCCTGTGATAAAATAATCTACCAGAGGCTATCAAATAGTACAAGAAAGTGTTGGACCAAACATGAAGAGTGGTAGACCACCAGCGGATGAAATTTTCAGCATAGAGATCATCGGGTAAGGTTAAGAAAACAAACACACACACAAAAAAAAACATGGAAACAAAGCTTTTGTAAATGGGGGCGGGGAGGAGGAAAGGTTGAAAGGAGGGAAAGTGAATGGGAAAAAAGTAAGTTATACCATGTACAGATACAAATTCTCTATGAAGAATGTGATCATTATGTATATCTAAAATATACTGCTAAAATATGATTTTAAAAAAAACCCTTGGAGATTAATTTAAGTAATAAGCTTCTCTCATAAGCTCAAAAGACAGAAATAGAATCTCCAAATATATACATCTCTCTCTAAATCTTTCCTAAGCTTTATTTCCAAAAACATTTGAATACAAAGGCAAGCTCCTAGATAAAACCCAATTTTTAACTCTTTAATTCTTATATGGTGAAGGAGTCAAACTTTGTGCTACATAAAAGCCAAACCAGGAAGCCCAAAGATAAGTTTTGTTCAAAAGGTACCTTAACAGCTGGATTGTTATGACTGGGTGATTTTACCCTGAAGAATTCAAATCAGGGGGTACAGGAAACAAGATAGGAATATGTTATATCCAAAGGCAAAAATAAGTATAAAGTAATATTTTTAAACTAACAAGAAAAAGTAATAATGATTATTAGAAATTTAACTTCTGCCAACAAGAGGAACTTTTTGTCAAAAGAATTCAAAATATCTCAAAAAGTTTTGGGATGTAACAGAATATTTTGGTGCTGAAAATGGACCTCTGTTATCTGGTCACTGAGTAATCTGTTAAGAAAGAGAAAGAGAGAAAGAGAGAGAGAAAGAGGGAAGAAAGAAAGAAAGAGAGAAAGAAAGAAAGAAGAAAGAAAGAAAGAAAGAAAGAAAGAAAGAAAGAAAGAAAGAAAGAAAGAAAGAAAAGAAAGAAAGAAAGAAAGAAAGAAAGAAAGAAAGAAAGAAAGAAAGAAAGAAAGAAAGAAAGAAAGAAGAGAGAAGGAAGGAAGAAGGAAGGAGGAAAGAGAGGAAGGAAAGAAAGAAATAAAGGAGACAAGGAAAGAGAGAGAGAGAAGGCAGGCCTAACTCCTAATTTTATATTTTGTATAAATAGTTGCTATAGACTAACTGAACCCCTTATATATATTGTGCTTTTATTTGGAGGTGAAGTCTTTGGGAGATGCCTATGCCATGGTGGTGGACTTCATGATAGGACTAGGACTTTTATAAAAGACCTAAAAAAATGATTGCTTTTTACCACATGAAGACACAGCGAGAATGCAGCTGTCTGAAAACCAAGAGAGTCCTCATCAGACTCAGAATCTACCAGTGCCTTTGACTGGGACCTCCCAACTTTCAAAACTATGAGAAATATATGTTGCTTAAGGCCCTACATACTGTGCTATAACAACCCAAACAGAGTAGGCCAATCAACCACATAACAATTTGCAAGAAAGGATTCACAAGCTTGTTCTTTTTTAATAAATCCACTGACACTAAGTCAACAAAACAAGTAATGTTTTTAACAGATCACTGTTTCCTTCAAACTCATGCCAGCATTACAAATCTCAGCAAATTTTACCTTCGTAAGACCTTTTGTATTCAAAGTTCACCTTACAATTAGTTGTTTATTAAACATTTTAAATTTTCAGCCTTTCAAATTAATCTTAATATGCCTGTCTATGTATGCATTTAGACATACACAAATGTGAAGCTATGAAAAGACTATTTTAATTAAACCTTTTAACTTTTCAGCATATAAAATAACACAATATATATTCATATAATCGAACTTACCATCCTAATAAACTGTAAATATTTTCTTAAAAAGCTAGCAAATTATATTTATCTCATATACATATTCATGCTTCTTCAAAATTATTGCTCCTAGTATTGTCTCAACAATTTATATTAATTATTTCACACAGTAAAGTAAGCAGCTTGTATTTAGAAGACAGGAAGCAAAAACAATACAGCTAATTTTTTCCACACACATTTTATACACTTTAAAAATGTTAATGTATAAAAATAAAGTATACAGTATAGCTTAAAGACATTTACACTCTCTGTTAGTCATTTATATATAAAGTGAGCAAAGATAATTAGAACTATATTTAGTAAACAATATTTACATCTTTTTTCTTGCCTAGAAGTTGCCCATATATCAAAGCTTATGTATTAATTAATTCAAGTTAAAATAAATCTAAAGTTTACTATTCCAACTGACACATTATGACCATACAACTTGTAACATTCAAAATTTCAAGACATCAACCCTTTTTTAAAAATGACATGCATTCTTATAAATTCTTACATTTACATATGATTCTATATTCTTGTAATCTTAATTTGTTGAAACAATGATTCACTGATTTCATTTAACTTTATAGGAACTTATAAATTTTCTAGAAAATCTTAAATCATGAGAAACTAAACTCAAATCTTGTCTTAAATATTGAGCTAGCATTACATTTATAAAAACCGGAGGAAGAAATGGCATTGTTTTTAAGCTAATTTCTAATTTGACCAAGAAGCATCTACTTATAAGGAATATCAGCAATGTTATATAATTATTTCCAATGCAAATTAATCTCTGTATTCATATAT